AAACCTAGACCCTTACCCTCATTTACATAAGCAGTAACAATGTCAAAAGATTTGTAAGGCAAGATTTTCCCTTAGTGAAACCAGGTTGAGTATCTACTCAAATTCTAAACTTTGTTAAATTACTTTGCAAAGAATCTTTTATCAGACTTTCCAAAACTTTTCCCACAACTCATGTAAGACTAATAGACCTAAGATTACTGGGACAATTTTATCACCTCCCTTGAAATGAGGATTAACACCTGTTCAATATTCAAGGACTTATAAATAATAGTAGCAAGTGGCTCACATATACAATTCTTAACTTTCTTCAAAAGTCTTGGGAAAATATTATCTGATGAGGAGTATTATCATTCTTTAAACTTCCCAATTATGTCTTCACAAACTCAGATTTAATGTGATCATTTTGTTTCCATCAATCAAGAGGAGAAATATTGCTTAAATCTTTATTAGTAAAATCTGAAGAAAAAGCAGAATTTAATAACCTAGTCATTTTATAATCATCAAAAACGAACCCTCCTTTACCATACCTCAAAGGTCCTACCCCGTCCTAACATTTTGTTTACCTTTAATCTATTTAAATAAATCCTTATTCTTAATTTTTACATTTTCAGCCAACCTTTTTTCGTACATCATTTTCGATGTCTTAAGTTCCTGTTTGACCAACTTTCTTGATCTTATACAATCTTTTAAATCTCCCGTCTTAAATTTCTGTTGCTTTTCTTTAATTTCATCTCTTATACCTTGTGTGAGCCGACCTGGTTGTTGCGTATCTGCTTGTTTGTTAATTTCCGATATAAATTATTTCCGAGGAACTTCAGCGATACAAGTCCCTTCTTGATTAAACCAGTTTATTCTTTCTCGATACAAACTTTTAGTACACAGAAAGTCCACAGTCAGTACGTTTCTCGTCACTTTAAACTTATCAACTTTTATAATACACGCTATAAATCACAGTGATTGACAATCTCGATAACTTCGCTACGAGTGCAAAACACACACTTTATATTACCGTCACTACTGTTCGCTTCTTTAATTAACTTTCTATCGCTGGCTTCTCTGCCAGGCTTATATACCAACAAAGTGGAGTTTCGAATGCACTCGAGCCTCCCCGATCATTCATGATCATTCTAGAAGTTTCACGCACGCTACCAGCGCAGTCAGCGTCACGTAACATGGTTTTTACTGACAGCCACCCCTTTCTTTCTATAAGAAATATGTATATTTTAAATATTTAAAAATCTATCTTTAATAGTTTTTCACACTTGATCAGTGACTTCAAATAACTCAGCTACCCAATTCACAATAGATAATTATTCATTATTTCTAATCTAAAATAGCATTGTTTCTAGTAGGTTCCAAGACCAATTGGTGAAGAAAACCATCTTTAACGATTTTCAAAACCTTTCTCTCTCATGATTTGACTCTAGCATTTTCAAAGTTATAATTTTCCTATATTGAAAATGTATTTCCGATAGGTACTTACCTCCAATCAATAAATAGCTATTCTCGTTCAGCGCTGCCCTGTATGTGCAAAAAAATATCGCATGTCACAGGACTTTTATCACCCCTCTATTGAAATTGACTGATTCAATGCATCTCTCATGCAAATCATCATGTGTCAATAATAGTGTGACATACTCTCATGGCGCGACCCGGCATGGCTAGGTGGTTAGGGCGCTCGATTCACAATCTGAAGATCGCGGGTTCGACTCCTCGTCCCACCAAACATGCTCGCCCTTTCAGCCGTGTGGGCATTATAATGTGACAGTCAATCCCACTATTCATTGGTAAAATAGTAGCCCAAGATTTGGCGGTGGGTGGTGATGACTAGCTGCTTTCCCTGTAGTCTTACACTGCTAAATTAGGGACGGCTAGCGCAGATAGCCTTCGAGTAGCATGCGAAATTCAAAAAACAAATAAACAAGCATGGAAAAGACAACCCTTTTTACTACTGACCCACACTTCCTACAGTCCATCCTCAGACAAACGTATTTGTGTGTATGATACAGTCTGCTTCAAATAGTATACAACCAGTATCATTGACTGCATAAGTTATTCAGACAACTTTAACAGGTTCAAATTCCATGGCGGACACAAAGCAGATAGTCCATTGAATATATTTTTGGAACCCCAGTTGTTCAACGGTAAGTTTACAGACTTACAGTGCTAAAATCCGGGTTTCGATTCCCCATGGTAGATAGAGCATAGATAGCTTTGTGCTGGAACAAAATTGTAGACTGTATACTATATTGTTAATTTTCTTTTCCTATAATACTTGTCACTGAACATGCTCGCCCTTTCAATCATGAGGAAATTATAATGTTATCGTCAATCCCACTAGTCGTTGGTAAACGAGTAGCCCAAGAATTAGCAGTGGGTGATGTTGACAAGAGCTACCTTCCCTCTAGTCTTACACTGCTAAATTAGGGACAGCTAGCACAGATAACCCTCGTGTAGCTTTGCGCGAAATTCAAAACAAACAAACCAATAGTTCGTGACAGAGGACAGTAATACCATATAACATAGACAAATATATTGGTCCCTCATTGGCTTAGCAGTAAGTCTGAAGGATTATAATGTTCAAAATCGGGATTCGATACCCGTGATGAGCATAGCACAGGGATACTGAAAAATTGTAGATATGAATTTCGGAAGTTCTAGAGGTTATGTTTGTTTGTTTGTAATTAAGCACAAAGCTACACAATGAGCTATCTGTGCTTTGCTCACCACGGGTCGATAAACCTGGATTCTAGCGTTGTAAGTCCGCAGACATACTGCTGTGCCACTGGTGGCTAGAGGTTATGTAAATGCAATATAGAAATTGTACAATGAACAAAATTATTTTTGCTCTTTACATTATACTCCAACTTGTCAGAAACTGAATTAAACCGATATCTTCAATTTACAGACATATCTGGAGTATAAATAATTTTATAATACATCTAATTTTTGTGTATAATAGACGTGTACATTTTATTCAAAGCTAGCCACGTGTTGTGTAGGTATACATATTACATTCGGAATTATAGTTAACATTTCTTTTCTAATACGATATCAGTACTTATGCTTTCTTAACTGGTTTCTTGACCACGTGTTATGCAAAACTGCAATATCTAGAAATAATATATTTTTTTAAATTCCCATATTATAATAAGGGGATAGAAAATACCTAGTATGTCTACGTACCACACCTTTATAAATACTAGACAATAATGCAATTCTAATCATGATATGCATGCTACCCACATCACTGTTGGTCATTTCCATTGAGAAATAAGGGAGATTGTATCTTCAAGGTATCTCCTGACCTATCAGTGAAAAAAATATCATTGTGTACTTTTACATAGTATGTTCAACTTTACAAAATTCTCTCACGTGAGGAAGTGCAAGTGATACCACAGGTGAATGATGCAGAACAATAACTAACTAGGGTAAAAGAAACTTAGCTACTTTATTGACTGATATTCTATCTTAAAATTACATACACAATCAGTATGAAAATAGAAAAATTTTATATTAAATAAGGGAATAGAAAACATATGAAATACCTGCATACTAGAACTGGCTACCATAGATAATGGCAAGAGAGATAAAGTTCACAAGAATAAGAGAAGAAAGAGAGTACAAATGAAGATGGGGGAGGGCTGTGGAGATAACATTCGCATACCAACACGAAAATATTACAAGATCATCCTACAATTCTATGGATTACATACTTCTACAAATGATTTTCATGCAATTCTAAGGCATTCCAATTAAGTTGTATAGGTTTCTGTATTGCCTATTTGAATAGTCTGCCTTCCTAGAAGTCAAGGCTCCAGTATGTCACATTTAACTATGCAAAAGGATTAGCACATGGGGATACATCCAGTCAACATACCATACATGTGAGTAACTACATTCAAAATATCTTAAAAATTTAGAACAATTATGTGAATGTACCTGAATTAATATATATATATATATATATATGCCATACTAGTTATGGAATGATGAAAGTAGTAGCTCTTCCAGATATGACAACACAGATCACAAAATATTGTAATCATTTTCCTCAAGTGCTGCACATGATGTTATGGCACATACACAATGACAAGGGTATCAAAAATTCAATCAACCACCAAGTTAAAATAAAATCTCAAAATAACTAAACAAAACACGACTCAAAATGAAAATCAAAATTATGATACAATATCAAAATTAAACCATCAAAATAACGAAAGCTAGTCAGTTAACACAAGTAAGCACATTATGAATTAAGAGAAAAAAATTAAAACACATTGAAGAAACTACAAATTAAGAGTTTAAAATACAGTTTAAACGAAGATTCAAATTAACTGAACCACAAAACCACGATTGAGTTAAAACACAGAATACATTAAATTGAAGATTATACAATATTCACAGCATCTTCCCTGAAGTCTTTTTTTTTTATATGGATACAAGTTAACCCTATCTCGACGGGTCACGTGTCAAAGGTCATGTCATCGCGTGTGTTGACTTGCATTCAAAATTACTTTGAACTAGGTCAATAAGTTTGGTATCAAATTGTAGATTATAATTCCAATTTGAATATTATACTTTAGTTAATTTCTTAATTTAAAAGAAACTATTAAAAAACACAGCTAAACATCGATTTTTATGTGTCACGTGGTATGTTGAACGCAGCACTAGTTCAAATTAGATGTTTGTGATGTCAAAATACAAAATATACATTTTCGTACGAATTGGGAACTCAAACTACCGATATTTACAAGCTAGAATATAAAATAAGAACGTCTTATATTTTCTATTTGCTGAGATATTGCTCCTGTACTGAATCAAACACAGTGCCCCCCCCCAGCCCACCTCTTTTCATTTTTGGAAACGGTCCCTTATATACACTTACTTTTATATATGACATAAATAACCAATTGAAAGCTTAGAATGTTCCCCTAGTGGTTTACTCAATCATTTTGATGTGTTATTGTGCTAATTTCTTTCTTTTCACACAAAATTTCAAACGATGAGGTAGTCTTTAGTGAGCCCGAAATTTCATAATGTTTAGCAACCTACGACAAGCGAGTACAACTACAAAGGTCGTAAGTAGAAGAGATATTTGTTTGTTTAACTTCTTTATTTACTGTTCTATGTTTCAAGAAAAATACGTTTAAGAGCTTATTTGTAAATAGAAATAATGTTTATACATACATAATGCATAATAGTTGAAATGTGACTGTATTTTACAAAATACTAGTCCACTAAAACACAGCCAAGACAGGTCACTTTGTAAAGACTAAAACTGTTGTATATTGTTGGATACGTTAACACCATTGCACGTGCGCTGCGTCATTGTAACCTATATTGCTAGTCAGGAATGGCTGGAAGGTCAATATAATATAAATAATAAATATATATATAAATGTATAAGGTTATGAGATTTAATCTATTTAGACAAAAAAATTGTTTTTTCTTGTTATAATTTTTAATCTTTCTAGAACGAAAAAAATAATTTATATTGTTACGACAGCGGAAGTCACGCGACGCTGGAAGCATGGGCGCTGGAGTTTCTAGAAGGATCATGTTTCTTCCTGGAATCTCTAGTCTTTTCTACAAGCCCTCTATTTTAGTATGTAAGCAGGCAAATAAAGCGAGATAATTAATTGAATTGCAGACAGGCAGAGATAGAGACGGACAATTGAGTCAAGCGCGGTTGTGACCGTAAGTAAAGTGCGTGAATCGTTGTGAATTATAGCGTGTGTTTAAGTTAAAGTGACTGTGGAAATTAAGTGTATTGCAAAGTTGTATTGAGAAAGAATAAACTAGTTTTATTTAAGAAAGGACTTGTATCGCTAAAGTTTCATCCAAAAGAAATTATACGGGAAATTAGCAAATAAACACAGATGTAATAAATTCGTGTCAGAGAATGGGATGGTAAATGAAAATAAAAAAAGAAGATGGAAACGAGAGGTGGCAAATCAAACTACAGCTTAGCAGACTTGGTGGCAGCAATACGAGAACAGCAAAAGAAACAAGAAGTACGAGAAAAGAAACAAGAAGTACGAGAAAAGAAACAAGAAGAAAGATTACAGCAATTGTTGGAGGAAAAAGAAAAGAAACAAGAAGAGAGACAACAGCAGTGGCAAGAAAACCTGCAACAGTGGCAGCGTGAACAGCAAAATAAACAAAAGAGATTACAGCAGTTGTTGAAGGAAAAAGAAAAGAAACAAGAAGAACGAGAAAATAAACAAGAAGAGAGATTACAGCAGAAAGTCTCCAACAATTGAGAGAAAGCCAGTGTACACAAATGGAAAACATTAGTAAATTTCAAAGCGAATTAAATACATTAAAGAATGATTTACTGTCTTTTATACAAAGAGGATTTATTAGCCATTGACGTAATTAGCCCCAGACAATGGCAAGCCCCTTCCAGACCCCAAAGCTAAACCCTAATGCAGACATCTTCAGTTCTGTTAGAATTCACATCTCAGATATGAATGTCAGAAATAGGGATGATCTAGTTCGAAGGAAGCCAGCCACAGGAATTCGATGGGAAGGCACCATGGGAAGCATATAAAGCACAACTTGAGCTCCTGGCAGAGATGAATGGATGGACAGAGGAGCAGAAAGTGGTGTACTTGGCAACGAACCTGAAGGGACAACCACTGGAAATACTTGGACAGTTGTCAGCAGACGACAGGCATAACTATAGAGCACTGGTAGCTGCTCTAAAGCTCAGGTATGGAACCCAAAATCAGTCTGAAGTCTACGAACTAGTTTTGGATGAGAGTCCGTGCAAAAGGGGAGAGCCTGCAAGAGCTGGCACAAGATTTGGAAAGTATGGCACACAAGGCCTACCCAACTGCACCACCCGATGTCCTCAAGCTGTTGCTGAGGGGTCAGTTTGTAGACGCCTTG